GAATAATAAGTGCCGTTGAGAATTATGACCTAAAATTCTTTTTTGGCTGTGATGTACATTTTCTGAATGAAATGGGAAAAATTAGTCATTGATAGCATTCACATTCAGTTCTATTCACGAAATTTCAATAAAATTTCAGAGGAATTTTATATTTTCAAAAGGAGTCCCTGTGAATATTCAGTACTTTACGAAGAATATGGATTTGTTTATTGATAATTGTTAGTACAAAGCGAAAAACTCGAAAAGTTTGTTTAAATTTTCAAGATTTTCCATGAGAATATTATGTTGTTCGAGATTTCCAATCAAAATTTTCCATAAAATTATTGAAACTTGAAAAATCTATTATTTTCAGATTGTAATATAGATGCCAAAGTCTCAATATGCAGTCAATTTGCGTTAATTTCTGTTGAAAAATAAAAACTGACTCTCAGTATTCTAGCCGGACTCTATAATTTTCTCAAATAACTGATGATCTCAAGCATCACTTTTATTACCATTCAATTCTATGCCCAAATTTCATTATAACATCACGAAATTGTAGAATTCCAACAAAATTACATGAATATCTATTTTTCAATAGAATGAAATTACTCAATTTGTTGACAATTTTCAGTAAAAACCTAAAAATCCATAAACTTTAATCAACTTTCAACGATTTCACAAAAATGTCACATAATTTTGTAATTCCTGATCAACCCCACGAAAGATATTCTTCAATTTTCCTGTTCATTACCCCCGAAAACCTGCAACTCAAAAACTTCACTCGACTTCCACCGATTGTTCATCGAAAAATTGAGACGGAAATTTTCACCAATGCATCGCAATAAAGGAGAAACATAAAAATCATTAACAGTTGTCCGTAACTTTGAGATTCGTTAGAGTGGCGGGTTTTGAAAGCCCGTGTCTCAACGACGTCGCCAAATGCCTGCGTCTCGTGTATGAAAGGCATCGGCCCACAGGTCCCCGTTAATGGAGATCGTTTGCAACTGTTTAATTTGACTCAGCCTGGTATCCCTCCAGCCCTCCAACCCCCTTTCCCTCCTCCCCCCGCCCTCTGGCACTCTCATTATCTCGTATTCTCTGTCATCCCACTCGCACCAACATTGCCCAAGCATCTGTCTCCCTCATTCAGCACGAGATTCAGCTGCCCCCTCATCCCCCTCTGCATCGTCATCTTCTCATTCTCATTCGCTTCATCCCTTTTCCCGTGCTCTCATACTTCCCACCCACCCCACCCACCTCAATCGTAACGCTAACAAGTACAACTCATTATAAGTTGACGTAACTGCGGACTGTCCCCAATTAAGCAAGATCGCAAGATATTATTCCAATATTATTTCGTACCCTCGGGTGTGCACACGATCTATACGCGACCTCCATTCATTGTTTATGTTGTTGTTACAGTGAAGAATGAGAGGTAGATAAAGAGAGGGAGAGGGAGAGGGAGCGCGAGTGAGGAGAACTTGGGAGATAACAGTTTTCAATTTGTTGTAATTAGAGGGCAGTGAGGATTGTTCCGCTACAACGGATTATTAAAAACTCAATTACACTGTTAAAAAATTTGTTCACGTTCGTCTTCTTGCCTTCAATCGTCTTCAATCACTTGAAGACATTAATTCCAAAGAATTCATCAATCGAAATGAACAGTCTTTATCCAGCAGTCAGTCTGAACTGATGAAAACATTCAATTTTAACTTAATTAACATTTTTGCAACGATGTTAACTTCGCAAGTCAACGCGAAGATCGCCGTCGTATGACAAAGCCTCTCCCCATCGAAATACCCAAGTGATTCTAATTATATCTTCCATTCAAATCAAACTCCATCAGCTTAACTTCTTACATAAATTCTGATCAAAGTTAAATAATTTCTCGCACACGCATTTCAACTAGAAATATTGTTAACCCATTACGAATTACCGTCTTGAAGTTTAGTTTAAGAAAACAAAACAAAATAAAATAAAAGTCGTAAATAACCTGAGTGAGCTTAATTGTTAACTCAGGAGTACCGCCCTGTCGATACAAGGATAATTAAAAAAATATGTTCAAGTTTTTTTGCAAGAGGAATTCAACTGGAACTATAGTACTTGGTTGCAATTTACGGTAGGCCATTATTATCACCCCCTGCCCCCCCTCGTTATTGAATATCTGATGAATTCAGGATAGTTTTGGAGTATCTGCTGAACCTCGCAGATTACCACCATCCATACTTTGTGCATACCGAGTTTAATTAATTATGGGAGATTATTATTAGAGAAGTATGTGTTACTGGGGAATTGTTGAAGAATTCGGCAGTAATACCTCGGTTTCGATGATCTAGGATAGGTTCGGATAATTCTGGTATCTGTACCGAGCTAAATTTTCGGTGAATTTGATACTTCTTCATCCGGAAGTATAATGAGGAAATTTATATTCATGCGTATTCTGTCGCAAGGCTATTCCCGCTCAAAATGAAGAATAGAAATTTTAGTTTTGTATTTCTAGGGGATTGTACGCGTTTGCATGAAAAACAGAAGGGATACCAGCGGGTTCTCACATTTTCTTTCAATGGATTCAACCAAAGAAGTAGGGGAATCCCTCGTGACGCCACTGCTCTGGCTCAATCGGTAAATCCGGCTGTTCTGCTGTAATATGGTAAATTAAGGTTGGGATTGCGTTTTATAAAATCTAATTAGCAGGTCTGTAATATAATCTTTAATACACATCACTAAAACGCTTCGTAAACTCCTCTTTTCACGCATCTAGACTGGGATAATCTAAAGGTTTAAATAATGTTGCGACGAAAGAAGTCGAAAATATGAATTAAAAGAAAAAGAGTTTAATTAATTTGGGAGGGGAAATTATTGGGATAATTTTGATAATTCTGTTTGGGATGATTCGGGAATCTATATCGAGCGGAACTTTCGATGAATTTGATACGTTTTTATTCAGAAATATAATGACGAAATTCAATATTGTATTGTAATTGTATTCGAGCCCAAAAAAACATTCATATCTTGTCTGACATCGCTGCTACAAACTCGGGTCTACAACTCGGGCCTTCAATTGAAGGCCCGAGCTGTAGACCCGAGTTTGTAGCAGAGATGTCAGACAAGATATGAATGTTTTTTTGGGCTCAAACGAAAGAGCGGGTCGAGAAATGGCGTGCTAGGACCTCTAAAGATGGTTTTGAACCAGGGGAGACTCCTAGACCCCAATGTTCTATACATACTCCTAGACCCCATTGTCCTCCTAGACAATGATGTCACAACTCTGCTTTTCAATTGAAAACAGATATCATCTTTAGAGACATTTGTCATGTTTAGAGGCTCTTGCACGTCATTTCTCGACCCGCTCTTTCATTTGAGCTCAAAAAAACATTCATATCTTGTCTGACATCGCTGCTACAAACTCGGGTCTACAACTCGGGCTTTCAATTGGAGGCCCGAGTTGAAGACCCGAGTTTGTAGCAAAGATATCAGACAAGATATGAATGTTTTTTTGGGCTCAAACGAAAGAGCGGGTCGAGAAATGGCGTGCTAGGACCTCTAAAGATGGTTTTGAACCAGGGGAGACTCCTAGACCCCAATGTTCTATACATACTCCTAGACCCCATTGTCCTCCTAGACAATGATGTCACAACTCTGCTTTTCAATTGAAAACAGATATCATCTTTAGAGACATTTGTCATGTTTAGAGGCTCTAGCACGTCATTTCTCGACCCGCTCTTTCATTTGAGCCCAAAAAAACATTCATATCTTGTCTGACATCGCTGCTACAAACTCGGGTCTACAACTCGGGCTTTCAATTGAAAATTGTAGTTTCCTCGTGAAAATATAATTTGTTCTTCATTCTCTGTAGAAGGAATGTATTTACCTGAAAGGCATTTAAATGACTCACGAGAACAATTACTACCACGAAAATTATCATGTTTCGGTACAAACCTTCTTTATGGTCCACAAGTAAATTAATTTAATGCGACAAAAAATCTCTTCAAGGCAATATATAATTTTTCGGCAGAACTAATTATTTCTCTCAGTATACAGTTATTACTTTTCATAATTAAAGCCACGTAATTCGCTTTCAACTTGATTTTCAAGGTTCATCTTTAAATACACATTTATTTGTATTAATCATATTAGTATTTATTATTGCAATTTTGTATTAAGGATTGAACAATATAATTCTTAATATAATAAATGTTAATTATTCTCATATGTGTTTGATTTTAATCATCTTTATTCAGTGACGTATCACTTTGAATTCTCTTCTCTCTCTGAATCCTCTCAAAATAGAATTCCATTGCGCTAGAGGTTTACTAATCCTTTTTTCATTTTTTTCACGAAAACTCAATTCCCCTGAAAATACATGATCACCTGTTATTCTGAATTAACCAAGCGATCGAATTCGATTGGCTCGATGAGTCGATATCGACTTTCACCGCAAGGTTTTCCAGGAAAACCCAGTGAGCGCATGGAACTTCAAAGCAAAAGACAACCGTACGTCCCGATGAGCGTTGACTGTGTCCAATGGGACGTTTTGTGTCCCAAAACGTCCGCCAGTGCATGTTTCGTAACCGAATGAAAACGATAGATCCACTCATCCATTCGATACCTATACCACGTATCAACCATTCCTCAATAATGCATAATTAAGGACGCCGAAAGCCCCTTTAATCCCGTCGTCGTGTTTGCGTTTTCTCGGTGGCCACCCAGTAACGCTGGACCTTTGACCCGACCAACGAAATTACTCTCGTTCTCATCGTATCATCCCTCCATTCTATCATCCACCCCTTGCCCCTGGGTTTTCTTCTATCCGTCGGTGACCTGTTCCATCAAACGATCGAATAGTCGTTTCGCCTTCGACACGAATGGGGCTGTACGGAGAGAAATTCTCTATTAAATTTTACCATTTACTTCTTCCGATTTTGTAGCATACTGGACGGAGAAAAAATATACGGAAGGATACTGTTCGTGAGAATTCAAGTCTTAATTGAGTGATGAAAATGTCAAAATGCTTTTAGATGAACGACGAATCGAGATACGTTGTCAAGTACCGAAGAGGACCGGTGAGATGACATTTAATTCCAATAAAATCCCTTTTACACTTGAGATATTTTGGGCACCACTACAGACAAATGGTTGTAACCCAAAAATAAATTTGAAGTTGTTCAATTCATAAAAATTACAAAAACTTCAAGTACAGATTTAAATTTATTCCTCATCATTCCCGATGTCTCCTCCGTTACAATTAAAATCTCCCAAAAACAGACCGAAAATTAAAGGGTTGCAGGTGAAAATTCGGTGAGAATTCAAGTCTTAATTGAGTAATTAAAATTTCAGAGCGCTTCTAGATGAACGACGAATTGTCAAATACTGAGCAGAGCACGTGAAATCCCATTTAATTTCAATAAAATCCCTTTTATATTTGAGATATTTTGGGAATCACTAGAGACACATGGTTATAACCCAAAAATAAGTTTCACCAAATGAAAGATTTGGATTTATTCAATTAATAAATATTTCAAAACCTGCGAGTACAGATGATTCCAAATATAAATTCATTCCCCCATCATTCCCGATGTCTCCCGCATCAAAAATACAATCCTCCAAAAAAAGACTGAAAATCCCTCAAAAAAACACCGAAAACTGAACGGTTTCATGTGAAATTTCGGTGAGAATTCGAGTCTTAATTGAGTGATTAAAATTTCAGAATGCTTTTAGATGGACGACGAATTGTCAAGTACCGAAGAGAACACGTGAAATCCCTTCGATATCTCGGACTTTCATAACCCGAATATTGCCAACTGCGGAAGTGTACGAGAGAGGGATGTACATTGGTGCTGTCGGGTGAGAACTAATGAAATATGGGAAAGCTTTTAGCTTTTAGCGAACGTCTGATATATCCGAAATACTCCTGGCAATGGAGATTTCACCCCATAATTGATGCATCGGTTTTTCGTAATCATGATAAACAATAAATAGATTCAACCAATAAAATTTAATCTGCCCCGAATCCAGTCCACTCACTCATTGTTTATTATTTTTGTCACTCTCTCTAGCCGGCCAAAGTGTTTCAGGTATTTTGGCTGATGTGAGTGGGTGCATTTACACCCGGAAACTGGGTAACATGGAGTGACGTTACTCGTCTGGCCGATGGCAGTACTTAAGTATTCCTAAGTAAATTCAAGCGTCAACGTCTATCCCTCTTTCGTCGTTGCTAAACCATATATCCTACTTCAGGCTACTATCCATCCACTCGGTCCCCCCAACCCCCCCCCCCCCCCCCCCCCCCCCCCCCCCCCCCCCCCCCCCCCCCCC